TTTGGTCAAAAAGTTTAGTTCAATACTTAAATTACATGAAAGAGTTGCCAAAGGGTTACCCGGTTTGCCGTCGTTTCCTCGTTCACCCCTCGGCCCCATCGGACCCGACACTCCCGGCGAGCCTTTTGTATACAAATATTTATAAATCAAATAATTGTGTTTTACAAGCAATTAACAAACCCTGCGCTCCATCTCTTCCCGGCGGACCCTTAGCTCCGGGAGCGCCCGGAGGTCCTGACGGACCCGTTGAACCGATCGGACCTTTGTCTCCAGCCGGACCCGCCTGTCCCGGCAATCCCTGTAAACCTATATAAGGATTAAATTGTGTTTAAAAATGTAGATAAGTTTATCAACAAATGTTTGGATTGCATACCAATGAGCCCTCGATGTCCTTTATCTCCCTTTTCACCTGATATTCAATTGTTTTGTAAATAACATCGAATAGTAAATCATTGTTTGAGCCAAACCTGGATATCCAGTGTCTCCTTTGAGTCCGGGATTACCGGGAGTTCCCGGCAGTCCTCTCGACCCCTGAGGTCCGGGAACACCGCGCGGTCCCGATTCACCCGCGGATCCTCTCTCACCCGGAGGACCTCCCGCTCCGGTTGGGCCGATAGGGCCGGGCAGTCCTGGTGTGCCCTGTGGTCCGGGAGCACCGGGGCTTCCGATTGGGCCTAATTGTATAGAAAGCAACCATTTTTACATTATATTCAATATAATTTACAAATGATTATTTGTTTATACCCTTATCTCCGGGTCTGCCCGCGGGTCCTGGCGGTCCTTCTTTACCAGAATTTCCCTGTAGTCCCTGTTCACCGATTGGTCCCATCGGACCCGCCGGACCGGGATTTCCTTGCGGTCCCTGTTCTCCGTCTTTACCGGCCTTTCCATCGTTTCCTCTCTCGCCCTTCAAATCCATTTATAATTAATTTAATTAAATTTTATTTGTAATGAAACACAATTCAGACATACCTGAGACCCGCGCTGTCCCTGAGGTCCCTATAGTAACAAACAATTTCACATTTATATTTATAAACATTTTAATTAAAACCATTCAAACCTGTTTTCCAGGTGCTCCGGGTAGACCAGGGTGACCTGCACATTGCACATTTATATGTAATTTTTTGTAAATATTAAAATTTAATCGTTATAGTCATACCTCTTTCGCCAACAGGTCCTGGAATACCTTGAGGTCCCGGTTGTCCAATAGATCCCTACAATTAGTTTGTATATAATGTTGTGCTCGTCATTCATGTTTAAAACTTTATTACCGCTTCTCCCGCCTGTCCTTTAGGGCCGGGTATTCCTTGCGGTCCATGAGATCCGGGCGGTCCCGGGTTTCCCGGTCTACCGATCTCTCCCATTGAGCCCTAGAAATGTTGATTAGTTTAGATACAAACGAAGTGAGAATAAATTTCTTACTTTAAAACCGTGTATTCCGGGCGCTCCCTGAGGGCCCGATGGACCGGGAGGTCCCATAGGACCCGGCACTCCTACTCTTCCTGTTTATATAATAATAATTCATATTTTTATTCTTAAAGTCTGTTACCCTTAAAGGCATTTATCGACTAAACCTGGAAGTCCAGGGAATCCGACGTCACCTGAAAATAGACATTCATTGTTTAAATACAATACATTATTTTTATTAAAATTACAAACCCTTTTTGCCCTCTTCTCCCTGCGGGCCTTTAGGACCTAATATTTGGTGAATTTTAACATTAATTTAATATAATATTTATTATCTCGTATGAAATACCTGTCAAACCCGGCAAACCAGGCGCACCCGATTCACCAATTGGACCAGGAGGACCAGATACACCTTGCT